TCCTTGACTGCAGGCGGTGCTCGATCTTGCATACGCTCTCTATCTCACGTTAGACTCTAAATTATGACCGTCAAGTCACAATCTCGATCCTCACTGGATACGAACTTAAGATGATTTCTCTTATTACTACTATAGATCGATGTGTCATATTCTAATGACCTATCATCGTATGTTGCAACACTTAGACTTAGGTCTCTTAGTGTTAAATTCTAAAACAGACTATGCCTTCCTTCATGTTTAATGTGATATAATCACACTTTTAACATTAGGCATTTCTAGCTACCAACTTCTTTAACAATGAGCGCGATACTTCTATTGATCGTTTTTTATTTCCATTGTTTGGTTTAAGTCGGACGCTTCATCAAACTTGGTTCTCTGAACCACGTAACCTACTTATCGTAGTCGGACTCAATGTGATATGACCACTAGGGTCGGGATAACAACAATCTTCTTAGTCATCACCGAAACAATGGTAACGACCTACTTGAATAGAACGAAATCAATTACTGGCCTCTTGGTAACCTTGTGACTTTCCCTGATCCAAGTGTGAGTCCTGTGCTTCCGGTAGTATAGGCCTCTACTACCATTCACACCTACTCATACTCGTTCCAAGTATTGTCTCGCAGTTTTCCCAAGTCACCATGAAGCAAATCACACAACGATTTCACACACCAGATAACAAAGCAAAGATTTTATTATTTTTCGAAACTATTACATAGGTGTTCAAGTTCACCCTAGACTATGCCTCTACTAGGCTACATCATACGAAACTATGGCTACTTCATAATCCGTTCTTCGGGTAAGAAGTCCTCATCCTTGATTCCTCGCACGGTTTTCTTCTTCGTCGAGGATCATGTGAAATGCCCTTGGCCTTGGTGGCGTTTCTGGTCTTGCTGCTTTATTTTTCTTTGGGTAGTTCTTTGAAATATGCCCATTATTTCCACATTCGTAGCACTTCTTGTTGTAGAATGTACAATCTCTGGAATAGTGACCGGTCCTACCACACTTATAGCACGTCACTTCTCCATCGCATCTTCCGAAGTGCTTCTTCTTGCACTTCTCACACCACTTGGCTTCATTCCTTCGGTCGTCCAGGTTAGACTTCGAGAACTTTCCCTTATTATCAGGTCTTGAGGATCCTTCCAACTTCCTCTTCTCACCAACTTCAATTTTCTCCAGACCCTTTTCTCTTATTTGGGTCTCAACATTCTTGGCTGCCCAGATGGCGGCTTTCAAAGTGGTTGCTTGTTTGACCATTGGACCAAAGTCTGCTGGTAATCTGTGGGCAAACTTATTGACCTTGGAGAGTTCAGTTGGAACTAGATAAGGAACAAGCTTCATTTTCTCCGTAAAACTTGCAGCATACTCGATGACACTCATCTTTCCCTTCTTTAGATTCTGAAACTCGTTGTTGATTTCCAGAAGATCCTGTTCAGAGCAGTACTGCATTTTTAGATGCACCAGAAAATCCTCCCATGACATTTTGCTCGCTTCTCCTTTGGGCATCGAATCAGCTAGTAGCTTCCACCAGCTTAGTACTCCAGATTTCAACAGAGGAACTGCGAGAGCGGTCTTTTGCCTGTTGCTACACTCACAACTCTCAAACATCGTCTCCATCTCGGAGATCCAGTTTATGAATTCCACCGGCGTCGGGCTTCCAGATAGACTCGGTGGTTTGGACGCCATGAAATCCTTGTATTTGCATCCACGTCCATCATTTCCTCCATCCTGATGGTTTTGCCTAACTATTGGTGGGTTGGCTTGACCAACAGTCCCACTGTAGTTTCCCTCCTCAGTCTGCCCTTCGTTCAACTCGGGTTGTTCGATCTGAAAGGTCGCTTCCACTCGATTTTACTGGAGCAAACGCCTAGTTTCCTCCATTTGACGATCCAACATCGCTTGGATCATCGCTTGCACTCCGGCCATTGAGACTGGCTCAGCAGCGGCTTCCATCACCGGTATTTGCTCAATCACTGGGGGTTGGTTTCTGTTCCCATTTGCATTCACGTTTTCGCTACGGGTTCTTGCCATCTTGATCTATACACCGAATAAGGTGAATCTAGATCTCTACTAAGGATTGACGGTTAAATCATCCTTATCACTCCGAAACGTTTATATGCTAGTTCTATAATCGTAGTCGTACGTTTAGAATCCTAAACACATAAGGTTTCCAGATCCGGTCGGCAACAGACCATAGATCCGAACAACTAACAGCATATCAGGCACAAGTATTTAGCACATAAAAGCATTTTAGGCATAATTCCTAAAATAAGCTAGTGCTCACACCTCACAATCATCGCTTAGCATTCTAAGTTTAAGTCTAGAAATAAATCCATATTCCTAGTTCGCTTAAACTAATGCTCTGATACCAACTGTGACATCCCCAAAATCACGGCCAGAAAAGACCGATTTTGTTTATGCTTTATAAAAATCAGAGTACTTCATTTTATAAAAAGGTTGCGGAATTTGTTCCCAGAAAAACACGATAAATACGTTATTAAAACATTTTCGAAGAAACGTATTTTTATTCATCTTAAAACGTTTGGGATGTCATTGTTAATACAGAAACATAAGCATAAACAGAACTTACAATTATTTACACTAGTGATCTACATCTCTTTAAATCTCTCAGTGTAATGTCACTTCATATTGCCACCTGTGATGTAAATAAACTGAGTGGGTCAGGTTGGGAAACCTGGTGAGTACATAGGGTTTTCAACCCACAATAATATAGTTATTATGTTTAAACAATCAAACAATCAACCCAATTACCCATCCCCATTATCTTCTTTTAGTCTTCCCTAAAGATATTATCTCAAGGGTCATCTCCTATATCATATTTACTTCTCATCTCCTTACATCGTATTTCCTTACATGATTGTTCCTACGAACTTTACCTAAGGATCATCGCCTACATTGCATAGACAATACTATTCTGGGGATTACTCCCTCAATATGTGTCTAGCAAGATTTAGGGTATCATCGCATGATTACACAGCCAAAACATCACCTGGACTTGTAAATCATGATAAGGGTTAGTCTATCATCTCATGAATACGTAGCGACAACATCGCCTGGACTCGTAATTCATAATATGGGTTAGACTATCATCGCATGAATACGTAGCCACAACATCGCCTGGACTCGTAATTCATAATATGGGTTAGACTATCATCGCATGAATACGTAGCCACAACATCGCCTGGACTCGTAATTCATAATATGGGTTAGACTATCGTCGCATGAATACGTAGCCACAACATTGCCTGGACTCGTAATTAATCACCTACAGGTTACTAGCCTGCTGGTGTTTCCACGGGGTTGTCTATAATAGTCTGCGGTCGCCACCTATACTCTGGTAGATGACTACATCTCCAAATTGTCGGACAAGGTTTTAGTATCCTACATCACCGATTCATAATTACCTATCTGTCATCACCTTCCTATCATCACCTATCTCTCATTATTTTGTTTCATCACTCACCAACTATTTTATCTACCCATGTTTTATCCCAACATATTTGTAGATATAAAATAAATATACAGTTTAAATCATTTAAAACATGTATAAATCATTCATCCAGCATAGACAACAAGTATTCAGACAATATGTACACATAGCACGTAATTTATATTAAAATACTTCATATATATGTGTAAGATGAAAGGGACCATGCACTCACCTGAAAGGTGGTGACTCAGCACTCGGACAGCGCTTCGATACTCTCAAAACGATATTCCTTCGATAAAACCTAGTACCAGTACCACTAGGGTTTAGTCTAACGATAACCGTGACTAATTAATAGTCTGACTATTATTATTATTATATAAGCGTTAAATAACACTCAATATAACTCATAATAATAGCCTAAATACTCATTATAAGTTCCTAATAATGTTACTATATTAAAACATAAGCTATACTAAAGATAGCGTAGGCATAGCTCACTTACAGCGGGTTTTTCGCAAAACCGGGCTTCGCTGGAGCAGCGTTCCTGAGCCGAAAGGCTCTTTTCTCGGGACTCTGGGAGCCTCGGGGCTTCCTTCGGGTGCTAGGGGGTTTACCTAGGCTTTTAGGGGGGTTAGGGGGCTAGAGAGAGAGAGTCTAGAGAGAGAAAGAATAGTTTAGGAAGGTGTGAAGAATGAGGGAACCCGGCACCTCTATTTATAGGGGAGGAATCTGATGGACTCGTCGAGTTTGAGTCATGACTCGTCGAGTTGGTCCATGTGGTGGCCTTCTGGTGGTGCCACGTGTCCAATTCTGGTGGTGCCACGTCACCCCCTATCGCGTATCAGACTTCAAACTTAGAAAAATCATAATTTTCGCATACGAGCTCCGTTTTCGACGTTCTTTATATCCACGCGTAGGTAAAATCAAGATCTACAACTTTCGTTTAGACTCTGTTGGCTAATTCTCGACCGATCTCAAATTTAAAAGTAGGAGGCGTTTAGACTGTTAAATGACCGCGAAGAGTTCATAACTCCCCTATACGGACTCCGTTTTCGTCTGTCTTTTTACCGTTGAGTTCCTATTAATGAGATCTTCAACTCTCATTTAGGTCATGTAAGCCAAAAACCGCTCGAACTAAAATTCGAGTTTCGGGCTGTACACTGCTAAGCCGAATCTTAGAAAAATCATAACTTCTTCATACGAAGTCAGATTTGGGTGTTCTTTTTATCGACGCTCTTAGTTTAACATTTTCTACAACTTTTGTTTAGATTGCTAAGGCTAAATCTCGCTCTATCGTAAATTCACTATTTACGTCTCCCGGTGTCGTGCCGGTTTTGCCGTAAAACTTCGGCGGGCCATAACTTCTTCGTTATAACTCGGATTTTGGCGTTCTTTATATGTACGAAAAGCTTGTGACATATTATACAACTTGGTTAAGATTATTTATCCTAAATAATCTTTTGTCGAAAAGTCATTTTCGACCCCTATTGCCTCTAAATTGACTAGCCCGGATCTACGGGCGTTACATATTCAGTCTGATTATAGTTCGATGAAAAAGAGAAAACATGGTTTGTTTGGTTGATTAAATTCAAAATCATCTGATTCAGAAGGTTAGTTTTTATTATGTGGTTATTATTTAAGTTTATTATTAATGTAGATTATAGTTTTTTTTTTGTTGGAAATAATTTAGATTATGTAAGTGATTCTGATTATGAAGTTCGGAGCATTACAAGGAGCAGGAAGTTGGTTAACAGAAGTGATAGAAAAGTTAGTAAAACAATTGTCTCCGAACATGGTAAACTTGAATATAATGTTTATTATTTATTGTGTTATTTATTTATTGATTATGTTTTATTAATTTTTTTATATTATTTTACAACGTTTGTATGTTGATAATTTTGTTCTAGAGTTTTCTAGTGATTCTGATTTTGAGGATGGTTCCAGTAGTAGTGTGAAGAGGGTGGATAATATAGCTGATAAGAAAGTTAAAAAGAAAATGGAGTTGCATAGTGATAAAATAAAGTCATTGTATTCTCGTGTTTCTCTTCATTCTATATATGGTGTTGTGAAGTCTATGAATCATAAGCAAAATGAATGTGTGAGGAATTTGGGATTTGGATCATTGATAGACATGAAGACTCAAAGTATTCCAGCAAAATTATGTTATTTTGTTGTTGATTCGTTTGATCCTTTAGAGATGGTTATTAAAACTGAGGTTTCTAATATTTTGGTTACAAGGGAAGATGTTAATAGGGTGTTAGGGCTGCCTATGGGGATTGATCAATTAAATAGTGTTGATTTAAGAGGTAATGAGGTATGGTATGAAATATGGAAAGATCAATTCAAGAAGCCGTTGTCTTTAATTACTCCAAATGATGTTGTGTACAAGATAATAGAACGATGTGAAGCAGATATGGTGTTTGTTGCAAACTTTATTATTCTTGTATGTACATGTTTTGGATCATGTAACAAACAAGGTGCATGCAATTTGAAGCTTCTACCGTATTTGTCTGAATCATATAAGTTAGATAAGTTTGATTGGTGTACGTATGTTTTAAATTGTGTAAAAGAGGAAAAGTTGATTTGGGGTAGAAGTGATATTAAGACCTTCTTCAATGGTCCAAGTGTCTTTCTAACGGTATGTAATTTAATGTTGTTTGAGTAAATATTTTTAAAATATTAGTAATATTTATATTTTGTTATTATATATTTTTTTTTTGTAGTTGCTATATGTTGATAGGATTCAATGTAGGCAAATGTTAATGGTTAGAAGATATCCAGTAATTAATAACTGGACTTTAGAGCAGTTGAAAGTGAGAGAAATGAATGAAATTTCTAATGGAGGTTTTGGAAGGCCATCTGCTACAGTGGAAAGTGTTGATGAAGTTTATAGAGGATCAATTTTAGTAAGTAATATTATTTGTGTATTTTTGAAGATGAACTTGATTTATTTGTTTGTATGTTGTTTTTATGTTTAAAATTTAAGTTATATATATTAATTATAATTTGTTATGTTTTTTATTGTTATCAGGAGTTTCATTCAGAAATGAAGTGGTGTTTAGTAGATATGTCTAAGAAAGTGGATAAAGCCTTTAAAACGCATGGAAATTTGAAAATAGTAGAGTTTTATGGAATGAAGCTGAAAGAGTTATGTTCTGCATATAAAGCTTTACGTCATAGTAATTATAAATGTGAATATCCTTTTCAGTCATCTGGAAAAAGTAGTAGTTGTGATGATAAGTCTAATGAATTTCTAGATGTTGGGCAGTCTATTAACAACAGCGTTGCTGGTAATAAATATGGATCGGCAAATTCGTTTGGCAAATATGGAAATATGGAAACTAAGCTGCATGTGGATTGCGAGGGTGGTCATAAGGAAAAGTGTGTAGTAGAGGGTATTCCTTCTTTCAATTTAGGAATTGATGATGATATGCATACTCCTCCAAAAGTGAGTCCAGGTGTTGTTGTTAATAAATATGGATCGGCAAATTTGATTGGGAAATATGGATTTATTGAAAATAAGTTGCCTCTGGATTGCGAGGATGGTCATAAGGAAAAGTGTGTAGTTGAGAGTATTCCTTCTTTTAATTTAGGAATTGAGGATGATATATATACTCCTCCAAAAGTTAATCCAGGTATTGATAGTTATGTGGACAATAATTCTGTTTCTGTTGGAATAAGTTCTGATTCAGTCAAAGGGAAGGAACCAAAGTCTTGCGATGAAAGTGGAAAAGTTAAAATTCTTGAGAAAGATATGATTTCATCGAGACCAAAGAGAAGTCAAACGTTACCTCCAGTGCTTAGGTCTCCATTTGTTGTACGAGCTGTTGAGATTGATAGTAATTTGACGAAGGAGGAGAATATCAAGTCTAATTGGCTATTCAGTTTATGTGGGAATCCAACGTAATGTGTTTGTGTATATGTATATATATATATATATATATATATATATATATATATATAAATAATATTTAAGTTAATGTTTTTTTTTTATTTGAATAGGGATGATCTTTTTCATAGCATAAATGGTCAACATGGTGAAAGATACATGTTTGAGAGCTTATATCCGGGAGAATTTCTTTTTTCTGGGACTATTGATTGTTTTGTTGAAGTGTTGAACTATGATGAGAGAGCTAGGAATTTGGACACTCCTTCATGTTTCTTCTTCAAGACCGCAGTATTGGTATGTATAGTAGTTGTTAGTATATTATTATGATGTTTATTGAACTTTGGTTTTTTATTTAGGATCCTGCATACATGCATAATGAAGCATGTAAATATGATGATGTGTACGAGAATTTTAAAGAAAATGTTTTTCATTGTTTGGGAGAGTCTAAGGAACGAAGAAATTTAAAAGGAATTGATTTGGTAAGTTCAATTTTTTTTTGGAATTTTATTCTATTTGTGTTTGTATCTTACTATGAAGTTGTTTATGTTTATTTAGGTGTTCTTTGCATGTGCAAACAGTCACTATTTTGTGTTTGTTTTTTATTTTAAAAACCACAAAGCTGTCATATTGGACAAGATTTTGTATAGATCTTCTGAAAAACCATACCCACATCTAACTCAAAATCTGGTAAGTTTGTTTGTATTTTTTTGTTTAAATGTTTATATATATTAATGAGTTATGTATATATTTTTTATAAATTATATTGAATTTTTGTTTATATTTAAATGCAGAAATATATGTTTGGTAGATATCTTCAAGACATAAAACATTTTATGGCTTTTTCAGTTATGTATGAAATGGATTTTGTTGATCAATATATGACGTGGAAAACAAGAGGTAACAGTAATGATTGTGGGATTTTTTTGATGCGTCATATGGAAACTTATAAAGGTGGTCCTTTAGCTCATTAGAGATGTGGGTTTAAAATGGAAAGTGTTGAGCAGATTATGCAACTTAGAAATCTTCGAAGAAGATATCCTATGAAAATTCTGTTGAATGAAGTAAATTTAATGAAAAATGAAGTTGAGCAACTTCTTGTTGATTATCAAAAGATTTCTTCAAATGACAGGCGTGTAATGTATCATGAAGGCATTATCAATATAGCAGCTGGGTTAGCTGCTTTTGGTCCTTGATATATATTTGTTGAAGTAAAATTCAAGTCGTTATGTTTATGTAGAAGTATTAATAGTAATGGTTATGAATGAGTAAGTAGAACAATTTGTTATGAAGTTTTATAAATGTTTGTTTGTTTTTGGTTGTTATTTGTTTTGGTTTTATGTAATGTACTTCTACGAACATAAGTTTATAATAATATATGAATAGTGTGGCTAAGTTTTTTTGGTTTTGATTTTGATTGTATATGTATAATCTTTTATAAAGTTAATATATTTACAATCATATATAATATTAACATATATAAGTACATAATATCTATAATTTTTAAAACCATCATATCTAAAATTTTCAGAGTAAGATATCAACAATAATATATAATATAAACATTATATCAACCACCATACATAATATTTAAAAATATATTACAGTCCCCATTACAGTCATACCAAAAGTTTGATCACATAAACATATTATAAAGACGTCCAAATATAAATAATAACACCATTTACTTAAACCCAAAAACCCAAAAGCCCAAAAATTCCAAATTCCCAACTTTTCACCTTGCAGCTTCATCTACTTCCCCAGAAGATTCACTTGATACTTGGTGTAATCCAAAGCTTCAATGAGTTTGTCAACATTGATCCAAAAGTTGAATTTGTCAAAAAGCATGATCCTAGCCTCCCAAACAGTAATTTTTGGATTTGATGCAACTGATGAATAGAGTTTTGTGCACAGATAACTGTTTGTTGCAAAGTTTAAAGTATTTGGGAAGAAGTTTGTAACAGTGGTTTGATTATGCTCCAAATAAACTTGTTGAACACAAAAAAACCCTTCCGTTTTAACCTTTTTGACAAAGTTAATGAAATCATTCCAATAAGCAAGCTTGTTTAGACCAACGTCTAAGGGAGCAAAGGAGACTAGAGAGTATGCATATGTTGTCTCAACATCATAACCAAAAGAAGTTAAGATGCTTTGAAATACCTTTGGGGAGAAAGTTTCAACCTCGATGAAGTCTATATAGTCAATCTTGCCTCCATCGTAATCGCGATTTGGGTAGTATTCGAAATTTCCTCCATGATGTAGCATCATCGTGAAGTAGTTTTTGTTGTCCCACCCTGAATGAATATTGAAAATAATATTATATAAGTATTAATAGTATACGATTGTAACAATAAAGAACATACCATATGTGTCGTAAAGATCAAGATAATCCGAGGTGTTTCGAACTACCCAAAGGGATGATTCAGAAGCCATCAATGTATGTGTTTTCTTCCTTAAGTTTATGTTTATGTTTAATAGGAATATATAGCGGTAACAATCGGAGTAAGTAGAGGAGTAATTAATTTTCTGCCATCATTTGCTTCAAAAAGTTGTATAGTTATTTTAGCGGTTGTAGGTTTAGCTAATGATGTTATCTATACATTGAAGATGATAATACTTATCTTTTTATGAAAGTAATTTTTTTTTTTTTTTTGTATTTTATAAAAGTAATCGGTATATTACCTATTTTTAATAAGTTGATATATAGAAAATAATTTTTTTTGTATGTTATAATGTGATAATAGTGTTGTTATTGATTATAGTTTTTACATATTTTTTATGTTAATTTTTTTTAAATATAAATTATAAAGTTATTAGTAAATGAAAAGGTTTTTATGTGAAAGAACTGTATGTATTTATTGTAATTTTGGTGTTTTGACTTCTCTATTTATGAATAGATTCTAGTAATAAATGAAAGATTTTTGAAATCATTTAAGTAATAAATTTCGAAAAAAGTATCATAATTTCAAATAGTTTATTATTTTAACAATTCAAAATTGGGTTATCAAAAAGATATGATAAGAGTTTCATAATTAACAAATGAGACAAAGATAACTTGCTTAGTCATTTCAAACTTAACATCTGTATAGTTATCTATAAGTCATTAAGCTCATTTCCAAAAGTCACCAACAACCGTTACGTACTA